GGTAAGGTAATTAGGCGCGTGACCGAGCGGTTTTAGAAAGTGTGTACCGGTGAATTAACTGGAAAATCGCACAGATATTTTTTCGCTCCAACGGGCCCTTAGTTGTTATTGTTGTTAGACCACACCACAAGAGTTGTGTGTGCCACCATTCTAAAGGTGAAGTGTCAATAAATAAATAAATAAATAAATTTGCACATTCTGACCTTGGGTGGACTCTGATAAGCCCAAGGTCAGTCAGACTTGAAATTTCTTGCTTCCTGGACCAATCATACAAACAAGATGATGTCAATTAAACACAAATCCTGTCTAATACCCGATTCACACGTGAAGTTAAATTTAACAAAAAGTAACAAATTGTAACCGAGCGATCTCCCGAGTTATTCCTACCGAGATAAAAAGCATTCACACGCGTCTGTAAGGTAATGCCAAGGTCGTGTAAAATTTATTCAGTGTTTATTCAATGAATCATTTTTTTCCCCTACTGCGATATAGGTCTAGCCTAGGCCTAGTTGAGAACCCCTGTCACAGATGGACTGTTGAACTCACCATCACAGTAAAGTTCACAAAGAACTGCTGTACTACTACTACTAAACTAGGCATAGCTTCCAACGTTTCTGTCGACTCTTGATAATACTAGTAATAGTACTAACACCATCCCGACGTTCATTTTATGTATATCTTCTTCTTCTACTATTACTAATTAACATCAATAACAAGGGTAATTCATCGCAGCGCTGCACTGGGTAATAAAAAGAATATACAACCGTTAGTTGGCGTCCTACACAGGCATGACGTTTTTACGAACGGGACTTTGCTCTCTTGTTCTATTTATACTCTTTGATGTTATTTCAGAAAACAAATATTATTTGTAAATTTAAATTTAGTTAGCAGATGTACAGTACTAAGCTGGGGTTTCTCAACTATATCACAATAGGGGCCAAAATTGTTCATTGAATAATTATAAAGGTCCAGGGGAAGAAACTATGGGGCGTAGCGACATCTGAGTGCCGCAGGTGCAAGCCGAGGGAGGGTTTGGGAGGGGGTGTCCCCTTCCCAAATTAGACATTTTTTAAAATAATAAGCTTCTAGATGCTCATATAGGGCATGTTGACCTAAGAAAGTTACGCTTGTGTTTGGTAATGCAAAAGTCAAAATGTTATAGGCCTATATCACACAATGGGTCATCGGTAATGCAGTACAGATTTCTTTGCTGTTTGCTGTAATAGTCTTCAGATTTGATTGATTAAATCGCTGCAATTTGTGGGGCAATATACAGGTCTAGTCGGCAAAAAAGAATGCAAAATTATTAAGGTTAAAAGTTCAGGCCCAAGCCTAGGCCTAACAGAAAATATTATTTTCAGATTGTTCTCGCGCACCGCATAACAGGGTTGAGAACCCCTGCACTAGGCCTAAGTAGATTCTTCAGCATGATTTTAAAAATGTAGTATCCCAGTGGGAGTAAGTGACTAATAGTAATTAAAAAGTAATTGTAAATCTATTTAATTAATATAGCATAGGATTTAATGAGTTTATTATGTGTTTGTAGCCAGGTTTGTATGTCGTCTAGTCGTGGTGTAAAATTTTCATCACAGACTTACAAGAAAAAAAACAACCATAAATGTTTTAATCTCAAATCTTCTTAAAATAGGTCTATTTACACAGTATGGGGTTGCAAACAGTACGATGCTTCGCCTTTCAAAATAGTGAGATGGGGAATGATGATGGTTACGGAAGAGCACACCAGCCAACGAGAGGGGAGTCAGCAGTGGTGCTCAGAAAGTGTTGTTTGGTGCCAAGATAAAGAAGCATCGTATAATGATTAGCACACAACTATGCAAAAATATTATTTTAGAAGATAAGTGTAAGAAAAGGCCCAGACTGTAAAGTGCACTATAGTCTACAAGGTTTGATGAGTTGTACTATTAAAGCATATATTCTTGAATTCCTGTGTAACAAAATACTGGGTTGCTAAAATTTGTTTATGTTTGCAATGTGAACTAGACCATTGGTATCTAATTCGGTTCCCAAGATCCCCTAACTTGACAATTATTACAGCAGAAAATATAGCAGTTACACATTTAGGGGTTTAGAAAGTTATTACTCTGTAGGGGGCAGTAGCCACAAAAAAAACCAGGCCCTCATAAAAAACAACAAAATTTAAAAGACAGCAATGTACTTTAACACTGCTCAATTAGTACAATGTACAGTGTACAGGTATTGCTGTATTAAGTACTTTGACATTCTTGTTTTCTATTTTGATTTAATGACCTTTGTTTACTAGGGTGTCATTGTAATGCAAATCTGTCATGACTGAGTACAGTACCATAACCAGCAGAAATTATGCAATCACAAAAAAAATGACAGCAGGATAGTAAAAAGATAACAAATCTTGAGAAATATATCACAGTGCAACAGTTAGCTAATGTACAGTACCCATCTACAATAGGAAAATAAATTCTTACCTTTGGTATTAGAACATTTATGAGTAACCACCCTCTTTTCCACTTTTTTGCCAAAGTTCTTAAACATTCAAAAATCTGTATTTCATTAACCGTTCCAAGTTTTTCGTTAAGCACCCTTTTTGCATCTTAGAAAAATCTGTTGTATTTTTGTACAACAAAGCCTATCAAAAAAATGTTTTTCCTCCATAACCTGGCTTTAATAATTTTGTGGAAAAATCAATTGTTCATAAAGAGAAGTATATTGTGTATATGGTAAGATATATTTTGACAGTTCAAATCAAATGACGTCATAATACACTTGTATGTGATTTGAACTTTGCCCTGATATTTATAATACACTATAATCTGTCTATTTAAAAAAAATCAGTTCACACTGAAGGAGTTAAGAAACGAAGTTTAAACTTTCTACTTACAATGATGATATGTGTATCTGTATACTGGTATATATTTCATAATTAATAAATGTCCACGGGGTCATCCGGCCGGTCAAGGTACGGGGTATTTTTAGGGTAATAGTCCTGTTTGGGAACCCATCATACCTTCATTATTGCTCTAATTACCTTGCAAACTTTTAAATACATAGTAGTATGAGCATATTCATCACAGGTTCAATTTGAACTTCCTTACTTTAAAGAATGATAAGATACGGCCCTCCGAAAAAGCGAAAATCTATTTTTGCACAATGCTTTGGGAGATTTTTGGTGGCATATAAACATTCTAATGAAATGCTACCCAAATTTGAATGGTATTTCCTGAAGAGGGGCCAAATATCAGTCTATGTACAATTTTCAACTTCTTATCTTCCTTATTCCAGGAGGTATAGCTTCGTAAAAACCGTACATGGGTCACATGGGCATGGTGGTTGAATTGAGCCGGAATGACCCATGAACAATTGCTTTTTAGCTTTTTATTGTCGTTATCATTGCTAGTATAAACAGGCTTCACACTATGTTTATAATACCTCCATTATCTTGAATATAAGCAAGACCTTCAGTCTGATACATAATTTTGCTTTCTATGACAGGTGAAAGAGTTTGTTTTTTGACAATTTTTTACCAAAAAAATTAAATATAAACATGATTTCTGCCTTCAGTTTGATATATAATTTAGCATTCTCTGACAAGTAGTGAACAAGATCATTTCTTTTTTGCAAATTTGTTTTTACCAAAAATGAGTGAAAATAATATTTTCTCTATTTTTGTCAATTTACACCATGTTTGATTAAGACCTATTATATTGAATATAAACATTCAAGACCCTTGCCTTCAGTTTGACACATAATTTAGCTTTCTATGACAAGTGATTAACGAGATAGCTGGCTTCTTAAATTTTTTACCGAAAATGAGTAAAAATCACTATTTTCTTTATTTTTGCAAACTTATACCATGTTTATGATTAAGACTTATTGAATATAAACATGACACTTTCCATCAGTTTGATATATAATTTAGCTTTCTTTGACAAGTGGTTAATGAGATAGTTTTTTTATTATTCATTATATTGATTATATACATGACCTTTGCCCTTAGTTTGATGCATAATTTATTTTTTCACTCATTTTTGGTAAAAAAATTAAAATACTGCTATCTCGTTAACCACTATCTCGTTAATAGAAAAAATAAATTATGTATCAAACTGAAAGCAAAATTATGTATCAAACTGAAGGCAATAGTCTTGCTTATATTCAAGATAATGGAGGTATTATCATAAACATGGTGTGTTGTGAAGGCCTGTTTATACTAGCAACAATTAACAACAACAATAAAAAGCTAAAAAGCAATTGATCATATAGAAAATAAAAGAAATAAAAGAAGTTTTCACACTAGCATGATTTGATAACTTATTTTCACAAATCAAAACAAATTACGTCATATCATGGGAAAGCGATAAAATCGTAGTACTTTAGTAATAAAACAACTTTATCATTTTCCCATGATTTATGACACCATTTGATTTGAATTGTCAAAATATTTTTTATCGTATACAATAAATTAAAATTGTTATCAAATCATGCTAGTGTGAAAACTTCTCTTATTTATTTATCTTATCTATTATTATCTCCTATAAATTATTATCTCTTAATATTATTTCTTCTTATTTTATTTATTTTTTAAAATTTTTATTGGATCAACTGCCGATATCATACAATACGAGCATATCACAGAATCGATGACTGCCCCCCAAAAAAGGGCCCCAGTCTCAGAAAGAAACAGTTCCCTCAGTCCCATCGTTACACCACTGACCTCACTGTTAGTTAAATAAATTTTGAAAAAATATGGAAGGGCGTCTACAATACAATACAATACACAGCCTCAAGCTCAAGGCTAGGCACAATAATTAAAAACATTGTACAGCAACTGGAGTCCAGTAGGACAGACTGCACCGCCGCAGGAAAGGCCACGTACCATCACAGCCCCACTCTAGTCTCTGCTCTGTCTGGTCCTGGACCAGGATGAATTAAACATCCAGACTAGCCTAACTAATCCTTATCTAGGTAGTATCTACTGATTATTGTACCTTTCTATTAAACATACTTACGAAATATTATGTTGTCTAGAATCGAAAAACAACATATATAAAGAACTTCTACTAGGAGGTGCAATCCATTCAAGAAATAAATTGTAATACACGCACAAGGCAAAAATTTTGTTTATAATTTGTTGTACTGATCGACTTTCTTCTTGGACAAGTTACTTCCTACTTATAAAAAGCTGATCTGATTGGCTTATTGAATCCAATGACAACATTGTCATCCAATCGAATTAACTGGAAGAAGATCTTGAGCTGAAATGGCGCAGCATTTTGAACAGATGAGAGCCATTCTAAACATTCGCGAGGAGTGAGTAGTTATCGTATCCCATTGAATGCGGCGACGGTGCGGTAGCTGCGCCTCATATGAAAACATTAAATATTTTTAAAAGGTAGGTCTTTATGCGAATTCCCTTACATAGAGTCTTCATGAATTAATCGCTTGAGCGTACAACTAGTGTGGGGACTACCATAGCATACATAGGCTTGCCTTTTAGGGATGATAGGCCTAGATAGAGACGAACTCTAAGCTAGGCTACTCAGGCCTACTCTACAGTATTACTACTACTAGGTTAGTGAGACTGCTAGTCTTACTTAGGCCCCACAGGCTACTACTATTACTATAAGCGAACTTTAGTGTAGGGCCTAGGCCTACTTCTAGGAGCCCAGGCCAGGTCCAAAGCTCCAGACTACCTACACAAACAACAGACTGTCACTAGGCTAGGCTAGTTAGTAGGCCTAGACCAGGCCTAGTTAGCTGGCCCTGGAATAAAATTGTTTTGAAGCCTATAGTACTAGTCTAGGGGCCTAGGCCTACTACTACTACTACTAGGCCTAGCCTCGGGTGTTTATGAAACTTCTTCAAGAAGGTTGATTCCCTGCAGCAGTGCTGGGAGACATAGGCCTAGGCCTACCATACCCATACACAAGCATGGTAATATTAATAAATAATGATATTTTAAAATATGCAAATAATGAATGTTTATGAGTGCAATGGGAAGAATATTTGCTTTCTAGTCAAAACGGCAATAAGTTAAAATGACAATGACCAAAACGGGATATGACCGGTTGAGCCGCCGACAAGTTGAGCCGCCGGTAATTTCTATGGAACGCCAAGGGCGTCTCTCAGTGAATGTAGTGCGTCTCTCAGTGAAAGTAGTCGGCTTGCCCCGGATACCAGCTACATATTCATCCCATGGCCCACAGTCTTGTCAGTTGATTTGCTCGTATTGCCGTTCGTGATGTATAAGTTGTGTAATTGAAAATTAGAATTTTTATTTTTTTTTGTACTACATTTTTATAAAAATAAATGAAGTTGTATAATTGCAAAATCTTATTAAAAATGTAATTTTATGTACTACATTTTTATAAAAATAAATGAAGTTGTATAATTGCAAAATCGTATTAAAAATGTGTTCATTTACGTTTGGTTTGCGGCGTATTTCAATTAACTTATTCGTTATTTGTACTATTTTGTTAAATTATTTAATTAAATTATTTATTATATGTAAGTTTAACAAATAGTACAAAAATAAAAATATATAAATTATAAAACCATATTAAATACTGTATAACAACATAGGCCTAACACATTTAAATTTATTGTTTATAGTCATGCAAAATCCTATTAAAAATGTAATAACTTGATTATTTTTTACGTTTGGTTTGCGGCGTATTTCAATTAAATTAACCATGGAAGATAAAACAAAAATAATTAATAGACTATTAATTAAAACAGTAATAAGTAAAATTGGTAAAACCAATTTGATTTTAAATAGACAGATGACTATAAACAATAAATTTACATGTGTTAGGCCTATGTTATTATACAATATTTACTATGGTTTTGTAATTTATATATTTTTATTTTTGTACTATTTGTAAAACTTATATATCATAATGATAAGAATGTATAGAGTTTTTGTTTTTACTATCTGGCAAGCCGACTGAATTAGACAGATGACTATGAACAATAAATTTAAATGTATTAGGCCCATGTTATTATACAGTATTTACTATGGTTTTGTAATATATATATTTTTATTTTTGTACTATTTGTTGAACTTATATACAATAAATGATAAGAATGTATGGAGTTTTTTTTTTAACTATCTGGCAAGCTGACTGAGCAAATACTCACAAAATTTAAATTAAAACGATAGAAAGAACAAGTAAATAAATTGAAATACGTCCCAAAAATATTTAATAAATAAGTGCAAAAACCGAGTATTAGATAAATTGAAATAATTGAGTAAATATACTGAAATACATCCCAAACAACAGTACCAAGAACGAATAAGTTAATTGAAATACGCCGCAATTAACGCACTACATTCACTGAGAGACGCGCTTGGCGTTCCATAGAAATGAACGGCGGCTCAACTTGTCGGCGGCTCAACCGGTCATAATCCACCAAAACGGCAACACTTTTAAAATTTTTTACCAGAATGGCAATCCACTAAAACGGCAATAAACCAAGACTTTTAGGTGCTAGTATAACTTATATTTACCTCGATTTGATGGTTTTATTTTACTGTGTCACTAATACAAAAACATTAAGACTCAAATAAGATTAACAAACCTTTCTGATTCAATATTTATTTTGGTTTAAATCATCAGTTTATTTCACATCATCAAAATATTGTACAAAACAAATAAAATTCGCACAAGGCAGGACAACAAACAAAATATAACAATAAAATATGATCCAAGGATGGCCTATAAAGTTGTCTGAAGTGAAAATTTAATTTCCAATGTGATCTAAATCTATGTAGATGCTCATCAATGCCTGTTCAGCATCTAGATGAGGGCAGGGGCTTGAGATGATTCAACCATTACACTGGGGTAACCTCCTACTTGTCTTGAAAGATGTACTGGGTTCTTTATAGTGCACATGAGTCATTGTGTACACTGGAGCCATAGGCGACTGCTTGGCCATTTGACTCGCCTACATGGTCCTACATAAAACCAACTATAAACATGAAAATGTACAACGATAAGGTATGGTAATAATTTAAATGTATTAAACAAAAATTTAAAATACAGAGGCTAAAAAAATGAGGCTAAAACTATTTTTGTCATAAAAGTAAAAAATGCGAAAAAACAACAACAATAATAATAATAGGCCTAATAACAATAAAACAAATTAAATAATAACAGGATTGGGGGAAACAATATAAAAGCAGTAAACATTCAAATAAATAAAACTTTCAAATACAGACAAAATGAGGTGCTCTAAACAATTCGTCATGTACAGTAGAACCTCGATTTTACGTACGGTACGCGACCGGAGGGCGTACGTAAATCGGGGGATTCGTAAAATAGAGGTTGGGTTAAATTTGTGGTAACATTTGACATAATACGTATGTAACGCTCAATATACGTATGTATGAACGAACGATGCTACCTAGCTAGGCTAGACCTATCCTCTAGGCCTACGAATAAAACCATGTGTTTAGTGTTTTTATTCATCACTTTACGATGTCATAATAAAGTGTTCAAATAAAACCATGTGTCTAGTGTATTAATTCATCACTTTATGTCTTTTATTTAACTATTAGAACATGAAAATATTGTAAGATTACCTATACGACAAAGGTATAACTTGGGAATTCCCCTTCATGCCTATTCTAAACAACAGAGCTGTGGTGTTGTCTGGGCCTGTTGAGATAAACTAAACCCATGTGCACTGGGCGAGCCAACCAATTAGCGTTCGTGTACGTGAAACAGCAAAACCATGTGCACTGCACTGGGCGAGCCAACCAATTAGCGTTCTTGTACGAAACTATGCCTACTCAGCTTTGTGTAGAAAATTAGACAAGACAAGTTTTTCCATGGTTTGCCACACGAAGCTAGGGAGGAAAGCAATTATTTTGACCACCATCGGTAGTTGTTCATCTCACTCAGTTCACATGGTTTTAGATTATAACAACCCGGTATTAGACTCAATCAACGTTGCTGTTTAATGAAAATACGTTGCATTTTATGGTTTGTTTATTGTAATAGTTTATTGTTATAGTCTTTTTACTTATGGTTGCTATGAAAAGGGCCGTTTGTTTTGAATATTTTCGGGGTTTTTAATGACGTCATCGTCGATACGAGGTGTAAGTAAAACCGAGGGTTCGTATAACTGGGGTACGTAAAAACGAGGTTCTACTGTATGTGTAAAATAATGCGATTAAACATTAAAAGTGGAAAAAAAGCCCATGGCAATATTCGATTTGTCTGACAGATGATCGGGCCAATTTCAAGACGATTTGGACAATGATGAAACTGCAACCTGTGCACGGCGGCGCTTGCTCTTGGCATTGATTTTGCTCCTTTGCCATTTTGGTCTTTGCCTATTGCCATTTTGGTACTTATCATTGCCGTTTTGGTCATTGCCATTTTGGTTCATTGTCGTTTTGACCTGCTACCAAATATTTTCATGAGTTGAAAGATTTCCATTCAAATAGATTGGTTCGGCCTAGGCCTAGCTAACCTGGCCTAGGCCTATCCCCAATGGCTATGCTAGAAATCTGTCATCGCTTTTCGGAAAATAAGAGCCGAATTCTGCACAAATTTTGCGCAAGTTTGAGCTAGTTTTTGAGATATAATAATCCACGCATTTAAAATACTTTACAGCTGTTTACATCTAAACAAAATCTCCAATACTTTGCACACTGCAAGAGTATGAGAAAGGGTATAGGTGGCATGACATCATTTCATGGACTGAACCCTCCGGGAAAAATCAGTCCCGCGTCTTTTAACCAATCAAAAGATTGAATTAGTTTAAAGTCATTTCGTATATATACCTGTAGACAACGTGCAATTGACGATTTGGATGGAAAAAAAATGCATGGTAGAACAAAATTTCAATGCTGAGCGATGAAATTGGCAAAATAACTAACGTCACATGGTACGAAATCAACCAGTCAAATGACTGGGATCTATTTAGGTGTGTTATAATATATAATAATATTTAAGTAAATAGGGGTCCAAAACACTCTGGTCCTACAGTATTTTTGGCTGTTTACTTATAGTATGTTTACTTTTTAGCTGTTTCTTATCAAATTTTCATCTCTACTCAATTTTATTGAGTATCAAATTTCTTATTCGCACGATCAGTTTGCAACAAAGCCACCGCAATTTCTGATTTTGTTCTGGAACACGATTATGATGTAGTTGTAATAACGGAGACGTGGCTACATGCTGACGATCGAGTTATTGAAAATGCTTTAACACCTAGTGGATATACGTTTACCCATACGCCGAGGAATCAAGGAAGACGTGGAGCTGTCTCTTATACACATCTAGACCTAGGCCTAAAAGTAGGGGTTACTGTAGGCAATGCCTAATAAGTTGACAGATCAAAGTATTCTTTCTTAATTGACTTGTTAATTTAATGCAGAATTATGCACCACACCAATTATTCAAACTTTAATCAATCAAGTTATCATATGAATTTCTTCTGCAGATTAACTCAACATGAATGATTGCACAGAAGAAGGCAAGGCGATTGCAACTGACACGATAGCGTGCCTTACTAATCAGGATGACTGTCAGAATTTAGAACTAACATCACAAATCTGGCAGCAAATTGAAGCCCATAGGCAGTCACAAGAACAGAAAATCAAACAAGACATCAAAGGTATTATTGAAATGAGGTGATAAACAAAATATAACATAAAAAAGGCTAGGATTTTTTAACAAGGCTACAAAATGCCTCATCATGGTTTGTTTAATACCCATAAAATACAATTCATCTTCACACTTCTCAAACTAAACTTGTCAGTTTTATAAATTAAAATGTGAGATCTAGGACACAAGGAAAATTAGAATGCTAAGTGTTGAAGTGCTTAGTGTTGAAGATAGGATATTTCTCAGCTTACATACGTGATATCTTTCATACATTTCTCAATTAACAGTTTTCTGTTTTCATGAAAAACTAAATCATTTTGAGCTCACTTGGAATAATCATAAATTTAAAAAAAACATTTAAACAAATCTATAAAGCCTGGTTCTGACAAGAACCCTAGTATCCGGAGCGGGCGCTAACCGTTAGCACCTGTGTGAGAACGCCTGATCGGTTAGCGCTAACCGTTAGCGTATCCGGATACCGCTAACCAGATACCGCTATCGGTTAGCAAGTGAGCACGTTTCTATCATCAACCAATCACACGTATGCGTTTACAATTTCCAGTCTCTTATTGGCCAGTGATTCGATCATCATATTTTTTGTATCCTGTGCTGTGTTAGTAGGCTACTCTGTATACAGGTGTTGTCAAAATGTAATGACATATAAATTTGCTATAGTGCATAAACAAGGTTTCAATGCACTGTTAGTGAAACAGAATTAAAATTTTGAAAAAAAAAGATGTGTGTTAAGACGGTTATTGAAAATGTTGAAGGAGAATTGCGAACTTCAAGAGGCAGGGAATTCCATATTAATGGCGCAGCAACAGACAATGCTCCCTCACCATAAGATTTTAATCTACTAGTATGGAGTGTGAAGAACAACTGTGCTGGTGGTAGATCTGTGTGAACGACTGCACTAATTAGACCTGGTGAACTCAATTTTCAATGTAACGAGGAGCAAAGCATATTTTGATAGCAAGAATGAATAGAAATATTGTAAATCACTGGCCAGACTAGGAAATTTTGTTTTGGCAAAAACAGGTGACATGCCTAAACATGGTCATGATGACATCACATTATGACCATATATAGGCACATTATGGCTATATACAGTATGGGACAGTTTTTTCTCCCAAGAAAATTTGAGTCATACAGCAAGCAGGAAAAAAAATCACAATTTGGGAATCCAGTTTTCTCTATTTTTTCCCAATGTTTATTAGATAGATAAAAAAAGAATAACACCACTGTTGTGTTTATGTACATAGGTTTATTAGCTCTGAAGGAAGAACGAGAGAGTGAACTTGTAGATGAAGAATCTAATGCTGAATACCAGAGAGAGAGGGCTGAAATCAAATCCCAGATTGACCAAGTTTCAACACAGAAAGCTGGTGTGGAGCAGGAATTAAAATATCCTTTTATGTTTAGTTTACATGCTTCATTCCATTGCTCTATTTTTGAAACATCTTTTTTTTATTTTAACATTTTAAATATCTATCACTGCCATTAAAATGATTCATTGTAACACCTAGAGCTGTAAATCATAAAAAAATATTTCAGTTTTAGTTCACATACCTTGAAACAACCTTAATAGTTTTCCAGCCTAATTGATGAGTTTATGTATAGGAACATTATGACCTTGTTAATTGGCAATTTGAAAAATAATTTGCTGGTTTTCCAGATCCATTTCTAATCCTGCAAATCCAGGATTATTATTAACCTGGAACTGACCTTTGTTCTTACTATTGGAAGTGAAAAAAATTAAAACAGAAGAAACTTAGCTGAGTTTTGTATTGTCTCACCATATTGATAGGTAAAGTATTCTCTAATCATCAAAAATGTTAAGAAATGTGCACAATTATGCCACACATATACCACAAAACAATAGAAATTTAACACATTTTTTCATGAAAAAAGAATGTAAGAGATTTAGTACCATGTATCCTTGCATATAAGACAAGGATTAAAATAGCAAATTACGATAAAAAAGCAGGGGTTCGTCTTATACGCACAACGCATTATACACATTTTTGATCTTGAAATCATGTCCATCTTATGTGCGGATCAATCATAACATGCAAATTTTCTACTGAATTGAAGCTACTAGCTTAGTATGAATAAACTCAATTTTAAATGCAGGGAAATAAGATTTTTATGAACATTTAAAAGCCCATAAAATGGTTTTTGGAAGATTAGATTACCATAAAAAGCAGCAAAAAATAGGATTTCCGACAGTGAAACAGAGAGTCGTCTTATTCTCCCGACATACAAAAATTGCCGAAAATCTTCTCAAGCTCGGGGGTCGACTATACACGGATTGCCTTATATATGCAAGAATATACGGTAG